AACCTCCAACAAAAAATATATGAGCTACAGTCTAAACTCCTTAAAGGGGGTTATGTAGGGGATTACATAGGGGACTACTATGGGGGTTATTAAGGGGGATACTAGGAGTTTAGACAGTAGCTCATATATATATATATATACATACCTTGTGCATGCCCTGAAATATATACCTACATACCTACTGTATGCCCTGAAATTACCTCCCTGGGCCCCCTGCAAAGGCTAGGGCCCATGTAAGGTCCCCCAAACTTCGAATCTTGAACAAAATGCCACACGACACCCTAAATCCTAAACCTTATAGAAACCCTATGTAAACCTCACACGCCGTTATCCCTGCATGGCCCTGCAAGAAGAGTAACCAAGTGGGTCACAAAGAGTCCAAAAGACTATTTCTACATACTTTTGGGATCCAGGTAAGAACCCCTTTAAAACAACCCTAGATATCCACGCAAGCCCCTTTAAAACAACCCTAGATATCCACGCAAGCCCCTTTAAAGCAACCCTAACTATCCATCTTATACAGGTCTGGTGCACGTCTCACGCCTTGGGTCCCTGGATGTATCTCGAGTGCAGCTCGGCGACGAGGCTGGGGGTCCACGTTATCAGCCAATTTTTGGAGTTTAAGGGGGTTGCGGGTTGGGTTTTGGGTTTAGGGTTACAGCCAAGGTTTGCAGTTTAAGGGGGCTAAGGGTTAAGGATTTAGGGATTAAGGGTTTCAGTGTCTCTTTATAAATGTTGTAGCCCCGTTGTAAGTTTAAGGTCCACAATTAAAACCCTATATCGCTGACCACATACATGCGCGCTCGAGTCGGATGACCGAGGTTCTGCCAGAGCGTCAGAACGAATCTACAGGCCTGGGAGGGTAAAGGCTCCTGCATGGGACACCCCTGCAGGAGCGTAGCTCCTTACAGTAAGGCCCCCCTGATCGCTTGCCAACGCCTCCCACTCAGGCCTCCCAAGCCTCCCACCTCTCAGGGCCACGAAACAGCACCTCCAAGCCTTGGGCCACTTCAGGCTCACAGGAATGGCTGCCTGTGCGCTCCAGCGAGGGCAGCAAGCATTGTGTTTAGCCTGAGCTTGCAGGGGCCTGCCAACAACTAGACGGGAGGGGTCTTCCGGGGCTTCTCTGCCCAAACCGAGGCCCACCATTGCACTTTGAGCTCAGCTGGCCTGTGCAGGCGTGTGCGGTTGCATGCTACCCACGCCTCATGTTTAGGTTCTGAAGATAGTCCTGGCTTTATGCGCAAGCACACTATCCACAACTCCATGCACAGCCAATTTTCTGGCGGGAGGCTACGCTGCTTGTCTGTTGTCCTTTAACACCGAGCTCTGGAACGGGTAGTTGCTCGGAACCGAAAGCGCAGGGCGAGCAGCTGACGCGTTGCGAAAGCCACGACTACCTAATGGGCTGCGGCTGCGTGATGAGGAGGACATATCGAAACTGGCAGTGACACGTGAGGTAGTAAGCCCCTTTTGCTAGGGGGAGTTTGGAACCCCAAGCCCTAATTCAGAATAGTTAGGGTGGTTGGGGCGCTACCCTAAACGGCCCTAAGCCCCAAAAACCCTGAACCCGAACCCCAGCCAGGTCTCGGTGAAGGTTTCAGCGCGCGAGCCCAAGCTGCAACTGTCCGTCCCAACGCTGGATCTGCCAAGGCTCCTCGGGCCAGGACTTTTTAGGGTTGCTATGAAGGGTATAGGGTTTAATGTTACGAAAGGTTTTGTAGGGGCTAGAGTTTAGGGTTTAGGATTCATACAAGTTGTATAGGAAGCAGGGCGGGGAGGTTGACCGGATTTTGAGCTATATATACATTTTCCTTTTCTGGGCTTGAGGGTTTGGGGCTTGGCGTTTTACCGTCCAGGCTTTAGCGTTTAGATGTCACAGCTTCGAGTTTAGGACTAAGGCGCGTCGAGCTGAGAGCTCTGAGCGGGCATGAGGGGGTTATGATCATAGGATCCCGAGGAAACTTTCCCCCGAATTAAAAACCAACAATTGAGGGATATTTCAGGTTTAGGGTTTAGGGGTAGGGTTTAGGTTTCGGGCCCGCGGAGGGTTTGGGAGATCTACACATAAGGGTTTAGGGTTTTTATCCTAGGATTGTGCGGTCTGGAGGTTGCGGTTTGGGTGTTAAGAGTTTATGGTCCAGGCTTTGTTGCGGTGTTGAGTTTCGTGCATTTGTGTTTTGGGAGGTTGAGGGTCTGGAGGTTTTTAGCTGTTCAGATTTCTGAGTGTGGGTTACAGGGACGGGGGTGTGAGTGTAGAGTTCAGATATCAGGGCTTAGTTTGGCGGTTTAAGGTTCAGGGTTTGGGGTTTAGGGTTGAGGGTTTAGGGTGTAAGGTTTAAGGTTTAGGGTGTGAACGTGTTATGAGCTGCTGTCAATATCCAAGGGACGCTTATCCTGTAGTTTAGTATAGTCCCGAATATATTCCCTAAAAAGGAACCCATGTCCATCAATTTCTGTAGAAAATCTTCACTGTACCTCATATCACCCATCTCCACCTTTCTCCGTTCCAATCGAGTGCGATTGTCCAACGCTGCAGAAGACTTTGAAGAGGGGGAGTTGCAAGCATATTGGGATAATGAAAAATAAGATGGAAACTACTATAGTATATTGGGGATATATAGGGACTAATGGAAAAGATAATGGAAACTACTATAATGGTTTAGGGTTTAATAACTGTATCTGTGGGTTCTGCGCAAAGCGCTTTTGTGGTCTAGCTGTTGTTCTGGGACTTGATGAAAGTAATTGGGGTCTGTCTAGGAACAACTGGAAGCCTTTGTGAACTGCCCGTCTTGAAACGCCGTTCTTGAAACCAAGCCGGCTCACACCATCATGGTGGACGCAGCCTTCCTTCGCGCACTTTGTGCGGGAGATGGAGCCCATACAGTAGGCAAGGGCCACGCCAGCAGCGGGTGCTAGAGACAGCACTTCTCTCTGAATGGCGGATTGAAGTGACCTCTGGGCTTGGAGCTTTTGTATTCCTTTTCGTAGCACCGGCCTGCGCCCACGAAACACTTGCCCACAGGAGGATTTAGGGCTCAGAGTTTGAGGTTTGGGGTATGAGGTTTTAGGTTGCGGACGGGGCTTGCCTAGAAGTTCAAGGCTTTGAGGTCGGAATTCGAGGGGGTTTAGGGTGAAGTGTTTCTGCTTCAGGGTTGAGTTTAGGAAGGGGTTTTACGGCTTAACTTATGTTTCAGGGCTTAGGGTGTGAACATGTTCAATATGGTTACATTTGTTGAGCTAGCCTACGTAGTCATCCCCGTCGCGCTTTACAAAATGACAGCAACATCCCCTCGTCCCAAAGAGCATCCGCATGCAATGTGCTGGACCCTCAGCTTGTCAACAAACACATTCTAAAGCTCTCCATCCCCAGGCAGCAGTTCGTGGCCCCTGCAGCTCGACTTCAGGGGAGTTCTCACCACTAGTTTGGGGCTTACAATACTATGGCCCCCCAATATTTTGATATTAATCCCGTATTGGAGCCATCTACAGGAAGTTACAGGTGGATAGTGTCCATAATAATACTCCGATAAGTTGATCAGGCTTCCAGAAGAACCCCCCAAAAAAAAACTTATGCCCATCTGTAAAGAATAACTTAACTCCAGGCTTTGGGGTTTAGGGTGTGGAGTTTGGGGCGGAGGGTTTTAAGGTTTTCACCTAACTAACATCGACCCCCCAACAAGGGCCCTATGAAGATTCCGGTCCTTGTGAAGTGGGGCTAAACGGAGTTCCATGGTAGCTTGGGGGCTGCATGGATCCTGCTTTGTGGGGTTTAGGGCGTGGGCCATGGGGTTCCCCAGAGTATGACTCACGTCCCGGAGTCCTGTACAAGAATGTCGGACGGGTAGTGATTCGGCCAGCGAGATGATCCTTCAAGATTGTTTTTGAAGGTTTAGAGTTTAGAGTTGAGGGTTCAGGGTTGAGGATGTAGAGTTTAGGTTGAGGGTTATGGGATTGGGTCTGAGTCATTCTGAGTACTCTCTCTTTCTCGGGCTCCTCTGCCGCCTTGGATCCAGTGGAAACAAAAAGACCCGGCGCCCTTGACCCTGATAAGCACAAAGAGACCTGAGTGGCCTGCTTGTCGGGGTCTTCTTGGAGCATTCAGGGACAAAGCGGGTCGGGTTTGCAGTATCGCAACGTCATAAGTCCATGCTCGGTGTTTCTAGGGAGATTTTGGGCTTGATGTGGAGAACATGGGATTTAGCAGCTAGGAACAGTGGGACTACACACGTTGTGGCCCGGGCGCAAATGGGCTGTGGCGAGTACAACCGTAAATCCTTTCAGGTGTAAGGTTTTCTTCAGTACTGGCGTACCATTGAGCCTTTACCCTAAATCCTAAACCTTGCAATAGAATAGAAGGGCACGCATTCGAAGAGCAGGGTCCTTTGCCTCCGTGCGAATTCTAAGATCAGAGTGCATGGGTGGTTCATGAATATCGGGAAGGTCCTGGGCATTGAAGTGACCTATGAAGCATCTGCCCACGCCTTCGAAGTCTTGTTGCAGGCGTCCCTTGGAGCCTAGCACCATTTAGTTAAGGAATGCACCCCTTACAAGAGCAAAAGACCAGCCCCCTAATTCCTAGATCCCCAAACCCCCCAAACCCCCCTAAACCTGTAGGACCCCCAACAAATCCCCTAAGCCCTCTTCAGTCATACTAGTCGCCCACCGTGACTTATGGTACATTCGAAGTAAAGGTTATTGGGCGCTCTGGGAAGCCCAAGAAGCAGTTTACCAAGCAAGGTCCACAAGGAGCCACTAAAATTTGGATCCGAGGTAGTGGTGCTTCCGACAGCGGATGTGGGAGCCCGGGAAGAGGACTGTCATTTTTAGGTTTACGGTTTAGGGCGTCGGGTTTAGGGTTCGGGGACTAGGGTTGTCGGTTTAGGGTTAGGGGTTTTGGTTGTTCTGGGAGGACCGTTTTAGTTGAGGGCTTACTGTAAGCAAGAAAGGTTGGGCGCTTTTAGCTGTTGGGTGCTTTAGGGTGTTAAGGTAGGAGGCGCACGTAAGGGGGATTGGGAGATTGGGAGTACGGATTATGTAAACCCACACCCTAAACCGCATTGGTTTCATTTTTCGAGGCTCAGGCCTGGTTTTACACTGTAGGTGAGCTGGATCATGCAGGATTCTGTGTGGCTCCGCCTACAAAAGCCTAAACTTTCCTAAGCCGGGTTTAGGGTTAGAAAAGTACTAGCATCATCACGATTATGGTGATAATTGGCATTATTACTGTCATTTTCTACCACTGTTATTACAATCCAAAGAGAAGGCTCAGTGCCAGCTTTGAGTAAATCTTGTGTATTTCCTAGTAAGTAAGCACTGGATTCTTTTCCGAAGCTGCCGTCCTCAAAAGCCTGAAAGGCCGGCGAACTACCGAAAGTTCCAAAACCGCCGCTTTATGAGCTCGAACTGCGGTGATTCCAATACTGTGTTTGTTTTTCCGGAGGTGTGTCATGGGGTACCGTTACTGCAGAGAAAAAGACAGAGACACGGAGGGAGAGAAAGAAGAGAGAGGTGTTAAGACCTACTCGTGAAGCCTACATGTTTTCCACCCTACATAAAGGCCTAAACCACCTCTGAGAGATTCATTTTCCCTCGATGTCGCGCCACCTTAATTGTCCCCTGGGAGTTTAAAGATTTAGGACACTACTTATATCCTCCCGTAAGTTTGCTGCTGTATACCCTCTATCTTGTATTCCCAATTGCTTGCAGCTTGGTAGTAATTACCCCGTAATTAGTGTAGAAAACTGTTGTTAACAACCGCAGAATCCCAGTGTCCATTTCACGTTTAAGTTTCTTTTCCATATTGATTCTCCACCGTTGCGGGCAATAATTCCTCTAGAGGCTGTAGGTGATTGGGGATACAGATGAGCCTAAACCTTCGACCCCAGACCAGCACTCCGATGAATCCAGATTGTAGCGTCTTGTTGCTCAGCCTCCTAAACCTTAAACCCTAAACACTCAAGCAACCAACCTGAAGCTTGAACATGTATCTGACAACTTACTTGGAGGTGATAATTGTCACGAAGCATGTGGAAACTTATGAGTGTATTAAGGGGCTGCGCCCAGGGGCGGGTAACGCAGGCAGCATGAAGAGGGAGCTGTGCAGCGGTCAGTGATTCAGCGCTCAACCTATTTCTTGGGTTCCTTCTCAACACACCCAAAAATGGCCACATCTGGCCCAAACCCAGGTTCTCGGGTTCTAGGCCCAGACCCATGGGCTCGGGCCAGATGTGGTCATTTTTGGCTTGAGCCCTCCTGGTGCCAGCCAAGAGCCATCATACAACAAACAAAAAAAACATGGCTGCAGCCTGATTTTGGTGAAACGGAGCCCCAATGATGCTGATGATGCTGGCCAAGGAGGCCAGCATCATCAGCATCATTGGGGGCTCGTTTCTCCAATCTGAGGTTTTCCGGTACCCCCCCGACCTGCAAAAAATGGTGCCCGGGCCCAGATAGGCCTCGGAGGCTAGTTTTCAAAACGGTCCGTGCGCATGATGCAGATTTTTGAGGGTTTGGGGACCCCCAAAATGCCGTAGCGGGGGCATTCGCCTCAAAAACGCATTCATTTGGGAGTGGTTTTGGAAGTGGGTCCGAGGGCGTCCAATGATGCAGGGTCGGCGGCATTGACCTCCACTCCATGGCTAAAGCCAGGGCGATGGCCTGCGGCAGCAACCCCAGGGCGTTGCCCGATTTCTGAAGCTTGCCTGACCCTCCGCGTCGTCCCTCACCAGACTCTCCAGGTTCTAAACCGTATTTTTCAACTGGGAATTTCTGATATAATCACTTTAAACCCTGTGTAAAATCCTTCAGGGCGCCGCTTCAAACCCCAGACTTCAAGCTCTGAATCCTCAACCCCAAACACACGCGCTTTAAGACTTAGCGTTTAGGGGTTTAGGGTTTAGGCGTTTAGGCTTCGGGAGAGTTTAGAGTCCCAAACAGTACTTGAGAAGACTGAGGGGGCTTCGTAACCAGATAATAATGGGGTTATAAGCAGACTGTCTAATCCGAAATAGGGGTTCATAGCCCATTTAGCCTGAATCCCAAATCCCGTTCCCGAAGACCTAAACCCTAAACTACCCCAAACCCTTGTCAAACTATTTAGAATCCCAAATGCTTCCGAAAGGAAACTCGACTCGGCGGCAGCCTGTCCGCGCTGCCAAAGCCTCTCTTCGCCCGGGCACCTTGGCAGGGGCTTCTTAGGGGTCCTTGAATCCCTTCTCCTTAAGGGTTTTAAGAGGAACGGAAAAGAAAATGGAAAATATTATTGGATCGTGTTGGGCGTTGGGTTTCTTAGGGGTCCCTTCTCTTTGGGGTTTCAGGCTTAGGCAACAAGGTCAAGGGACCGGGCTCAGGGATCAGGATTTCCAAGGAGTCCCTCGCATCCCTTCCCCAAACAGTCATTATACAGGTTAATTAGGCACTTTGGGGTTTAGGGTTATCTAGTGGAAAGGCAAAGAAATTAGATACTATTTCATGATATAGGGTTTAGGGTGTCTTGGGGGTCCCTTGAATCATGGAGGCCCTCTTTCAAGCTTCGATGGGTCTCCAACACATGAAGAACTCAAATATTTCCCACATGAATTTCATCCCTACATATCCCCTGAAGCCTGAAGCCAAAATTAGAACCCCAAAAGGCCTTTAATCCCCCCTCAAAATAAATCCGATCCCCTCCGCTCTCCCATAATAACAGATTTTCCCCTTAATGCATGATGGCACTATATTGGAGGGGGGGTTATTGTAATGGAGTTGCGGGGTTCATAGTCCTAAAGCCTAAACCCCAAATAATAGAGCAGTCATTATGGTATTTGATGCGGTTTGGGGGTTTGGCGTTAGCTTGCAGAGGGTTTGGGGTTTGGCCCATCCGGGCTATAGGGAAAGGGGCTCACCCTAAGGGTTGGAGTCCTGGGGTTGTAGGTATTATGTACAGGTTATTCCCTAAACCCCAAACCCTAAACCTAAGCCTTAAACCCTAAACCTAAACCTTAGACCCTAAGCCCCAAAAGAAACACAATTTTTGCATTTGGGGGTTTGGGGTAGTCGCATGGCACAGCATGTACTTCTTCGACTTCACCTTGACAATTGCAGGACAGTGCTGAGCCCCTGACACTAAGTCCTTAAACCCTGAACCGGTAAGCTTGAAAGGGTTTAAGGTTTAGGGTTTAGGTTTTAGGGTTAAGGTTTAGGGTTTAGGGTTGAAACCCTACCAAACCCCAAACCCCAACACTGAGTTGTTCACCCAACCCTAAACCCCAACTGTGACGCAGGTGCTCCTGCAGGGCCTGAACCTTGCAGACGCTAGGCATTGATCCGGTTGACGGTGATACACTCCCGGAAACTAACATGGAAACCCAAAAAGGGCCCAATAAAGACTACAGTCCTTCTAAAAGGGGACTACATGGGTTTCCATGTTAGTTTGGGGGAGTGTAGATGGTTAAGGGTTTCGGCTAAGGGTCGAGGGTATCGGGCTTATAGGTTAGGGTTTAGGCTTGGTGTACTATACAGCCCCCATTTCCCAAATATCAACGATTGAGCTGATTGAAACAGTGGATGTAGACAATCTTGCCAAACTGAGCTTTCCAGAAAATCTGTAGGCACAGGGGTAAGTCAGGAGTCCGATATGGGAGTTTCTCAACATCGGATGGAGGAAGCCATCCAGAACGACTGTGTTTTTATCGGGATGTGGGGCAAAAGGTTGGTGCAAGCTATCTTCCATCAACAGTAGGGTCTAGAATCCTGGGCATGACTTGTGGTTACAAGATTCTGCTCACAGTTGCCTCCCCCCAAGCCCTAAACCCTGAACACCTATGTCTCCCCAGGTTTAGGGTTTAGGGTTTAGGGTTTACTTTATCGACCTCTTTGAAGGGGAGCCCCACTAAACCCAAACCGCGAACACTGATTACAATTGAAGCTCAGGACTTGGGTCATTTGACCCACGTCTCGAGGTCCCTGCGGTCAATGGCTGTGGAGGCTTCGAATATCTTCTGGGATGTGTGCAGCCAGGCTTCATTGAGTCAATATGATGCCATCCACACCCCAGAAGATACCACTCGGGTTCAAAAAAGCAATGAGGATTATGTAGGGCTTAAAACGGCCCTATAGGGTTCTAAATCTGGAGGGGGTTACCTCCGGAGGGATAATTTGTATTTCAGTCCAAGTTTGATCTTAACGTTCTCAGGGTTCTGGGGCTTAGTTTATGACTCTACATGGAGAATTGTGACAAGTGTCATGTGTTTGGTATCTTAAGTGGGGGTGGTCATCACAGTCCCGAATATGGAGTAAGATCACAGTCTCCCTTTGGGTATAATTAGTACTTTACGAGAATATTCTGATTTGTGCTTGGTGCCGCCACCAAGAAAGGTTACTCGTTTGGCGAGTGGGCGCTTGAAATTAGGATTTTCCTTAGCGACTCAGGGAGTTCCTAGAAAATACTTCAGCGTTATGGGGCATAGCTTTGAAACTCCTAAATTCAGAAATGCCATCTATTCTTTGCCTCCGGGCGACTTGCCCGCATATTCTTCATGTGGTAGTTTCTACATATTAGAGACCTCTCACATACGCCAATAGGTTAAGATCCTCACATCCCGACCCCAGAAAGGGACCCCTGATTTTCAGAACCCCCACATGTATTACAGGTGCTTCATGACTTTGAAACAATGCAGGTAGCGGTTTTGGTGATGGGTCAGGTTCTGTAGAAGCTTGAAATATCAGTGTTATGTACGGATTGTGGCAAACGATTCGGAACCTGGGGTTATATAGGGGGAATAGGGAATATGTAATGTAGAAGCCGAAACCAGTACCAAGATCATGATCATAGGTTCTTTGTGTAGGCATTGTGAATTTAGGCCCCCCCTACAGTAGGCCTCTCAAGATGCAACGGCATTACGCAAGGCGAGCTGGTGTCCTACTGTTGACGGACACTTATCTACAAGAAATGCAACAGGTATTCTGACGTCTAGGTAACAAGGTGGCGGCGGATTTTGCACATAGGGTCAGCCCTTAAACTTAAGTTTGGGCTCCTCATAAACACAAGTGCTTTGGACGCAGAAGACAGGTAGGGGCCAATATTCGAGGCTCATCGTCAGGACCCTAGATGAGCGATAGTCTAAACTCCTTAGGGGGGGGGTATATATAGGGGACTACTATGCTAGCATATATGACCCTATAGGGGCAGGGTTTAGAGCGTTAGTTTCGGAATCTGGTAGTTTCGCCACACAGGGAGACCCCCATATAAGCCCCAAGATACTATAATCCTTATTTCAGGGACTCCAACATAGGTACACCTAACTTTGGGAAACCCTAAACCCTGTATACCCCTACGAAACCCCTTTAAAGGTACCCCCAAGTAGGGTTTGGAGTCTAGAGTTCAGGGTGTCCTCGATTGTGAAGAGTCCTCCGCCGCACGTGCTCTAGCGAATCCGAGGCTCAAGGGCCCGTGTAAAGTTTACGGTTTAAGGTTCAGGGGTTAGGGTTTATCCAGAAGCCAGAAGAACTACCGATATTACGGTCTTAGATCTTTTCGATAGGTGTGGGATAGGGTACCGCAAGTAGACCTCAAAATCATATCGGCAATGATGTACTTGCAGGGTCATGGGGACAGAAAGAAGATTAATAATTCGTTTCAGAAATGCAACAGCCCCAGTTATCCCCATTCTCAACCTCTTACTAAGTCCCCTAAACCCTGAGTCCTCTAAGCCCAGAGTCTTTAAGCCCGCTAAACCCTCAACCCTAGGTCCCCCCCTGCAAGTAGACCCCCCTAAACCCCGAACCCTAGACCCTGAACCCTAAACCCTTAACCCTAAACCCTTACCCCTAAGCCCTACCGTGCTGTGGATGAGGTAGCCTTTGCTGTTTCCACACCCGCGCACGTTTCGACGAAGCAGAGTGCATCCTGGGAGTTGGAGATCCTGGGCTGAAGTTGCTTAGGGTTTTAGGGTTTAGGGTTTAGGATTTCAGATTTGGGGTTTAGGGTTTAGGATTTTTGTTTTAGGATCTAAGATTTAGGGTTTAGGGTCTAGGCTTGAGTTTCTGTTGCTGCTGGGAATGAAGGAATATTTGAAAAAAGGGGGCTAACATATTGTCCATTGCTTAGCGTTTGGGCCCTCGCGTTTATGAGTTGGGTTAGAATGGTTAGTAGAGGTTTCAGGTTCATGGCTTAGAGTTTCGGGTTTAGGGGTTTGAGAGCTTTGGCTTCCGGCAGGAACATTTTAATGTTGTTTTGCAACAAACCTGTAGGTTTCCTTCAACTTTGACTGTGCTTTCTCACAAAAAACTGGATTGTTGTGCGCATCCGGGTGGATGCTTCGGTGGGATCAAAGTCTGCCTGCCACGACCATACTGACATGGAATTCTATATGGGGATTCGATAGGGTGTATATCCAGGGGTATGTGGATGTATATGGTTTAGGGGCACGGCCCGGCAGGAAACCTTTCCTGCTTGGGGCAGTCAGGATGTGGTCACTACGGGTGTTGGCCGGCACCACCATGAGTGACGGTGGCCTTGACTCATGTGCGGGTGAATGTAGAGGATAGCACGTGGGGGTCGGGTGATTCTGACGAGCAATCGGGTGTGTTCCGGTGTTTGACTAGGATGACGCGCCCTACGAGGAACCGCAACTGTCTTGCTGAACATACCCCTGCCCTGGGCAGATAATATTTCCTCAGAAAGGGGAAGCAGGTCGTGGTGAGAGCGGGTGAGTCTGAAAATTCTTGCTGGATGCCTTTCCCTGACACGGTGCGAACCTGAACTCCAACCGAAACTCCAATGACGATTTCGGGGGCCCGGGAAGGCAGGAGGGATGGCACCTGACCCTGGCTAAACCCAGCATCCATCCTTCCATCCATCCATCCATCCATTCACAAAAGGACTGTAGTCACTGCAAAGAACTTTTGAAGGGTTCCATCAAAGTTTTAGGGAGGGTAGGTTTATGGAAGATTGTGGTCATTTACTAACACAAGTTTTCCAGCTCGTAGAAGGTTACGTCTCAACGTCATTATAGAAGCCCCACGCATGCGCAGATTGCATGCGCGCTCGAGGTTGGCAAGGCTTTTTTGGAGGATGTGCCTATGCCCCAAACATGTTAAGACATTTGTCCAGCAAGTCCTTGCAAGAACTCTTGCCAGCCAATCTTTAGAAACCCGACTAACATCTACTCTTGGTTGATAAGCCGAGTACGAGGATCCTCTTCCAGGGATCAGTATACCAGGGGGGATTCTGAGTCAGGGTCTGCATTAATGGAACGCTATATTCCTTGAAGCCGGAACCCTACTCTCCCTCAAGCTAACATGGAAACCTATATAAAGAGGCTTACATATACATGATTAGGATAAATAAGGCTCATTGAGGGGAACCTTGGGTGGTAGTATAGGGTGCGCAAGAGGGAGCCCTAAGAAAGCCTTAGTCAGCTGCAGGTGGCTATTGTGGAGGAGGATGGACGCAAACATTTGACTTGTGACTTCGATCCACTCTCGCAGTTGGCCTTCGACAAGCTGGGTGTGCGGAAGGGCGTCTGGAGAAACAGGACTGTTTCTGGGTTGGCCTTTGGGATATTTAAACATTTTCCCTAATTGGTTTCATAAGGACCCTATATACTAATATTTTTCAAAGGGTTCCAAAGGCCAACCAAGGTTTCGGGTTCTTGGATTCTTGGGTTTAGAGCTCAGGGTGTCTTGGAGAAACAGGATTGGTCATGTAGGTAGCTGAGGGGTCTAGACCTTGAATTTCATGACCTCGGGAATCTCCGTGGGCCCCCACAACCCTCTTAGAGTGTAGGGTTTAGGTTCAGTGGCTTAGGGCTCAGCCCTCCATGCCCTACCAGCAGGATCTTCCTCGCAACCAAGAAGATCCCCCGCACACCACCTATGATGCAAACTCGCCGACTGGGTCATTATTGGAAATAATGAGTTACAAAAGGAATCTAACACTTAAACTTTTAGTATTAACCCCAAAGTCATGATTCCTAAGCCTTAGACTCCCCTCAAAGCCCCCGTGAGAGGATTTCCTACATATGCATCCATGTCTAACCCCTGTAAACTTTTTTGCAAGGATGTTTCGAGTTAGTAGGCCTACCTTTAGTATCAATTCAAATATTTCCTACATGAACCGTATAGAGCCCTACATATGATCACCCCTATAAAGCTCCTGCAAGAGGATTTCCTACTGGCTTCCTTTGGCCATTGACTCTCATCACTTCGTTCGCGCGGCTTCGAGTCTGAGCCAGGTTGGGTCTTTGAGCATTGAAAAATCCCGCAGGGCCTTAGGTACCTTAAAAGGGACAGAGTGTTCAGATAGGGGTACCTAAGGATGCACAGGGATATATATATATATAGGTACTTTCCCACAATAAAAGGACCCCAATATAGACCCCAAAATACTATAGTCCGTATTATGGGGACCCCCAAAAAGGTACACCTAATTTGCGGAAACCCTCATATACATATATATATATATGGAAAGAGAGAGAGATAGAGAGAGATTGAGGCTTAGGGTTGATACTAGGGCTTAGGGTTTAGGGGAATTATGCTAGAACACCATAGCTTGCAAGGTTTACTGAGAGGCACAGGGGATTGAGTAAGTATGTTATGAATGGGGTTATGGGCAGACTAGTTTCAATTAGCTCACGGACTTAAAGCCTCATTTTCAAACCTACTTGCTAAGCCCTTGAGCTTCTAAGTAAGGTACCCTTTCAACTTACCCTAAACACCTAAACCCTAAACCCTCTTAGGGTTATCCGGGCTTTTTGGTATCAACTGTCGGGATGCAACGGATATGTGTCGTGGAGTTTTTTGTGCTTAGGCTTAAGAGGTTAGATTCAGATTTTAGGATCTAGGGCTTAGGATTAAGGTTCTGGGTATGGGGATTGCAAAAGTCTTCCTTTAGGATTCTGTTGGTGACATTTTGAGAAAACTTGCAGATTGTTTTGAACAACTTTGGGGTGTGTTATTCCCTGCATCAAGGTAGTTATGTGAAGCCTACTGCCTTGGATGGCAATGGCCAGTTGCCGGAAATGCGGGCTAGAGACCGTTTAAATGGTTCCTAAGGGTACCCCCCGAACCACCAAAACACAAATCATAAAAATCCTAAACCCTAAACCCTAAAACCTGAATCCTAAACCCTAAAACCTGAATCCTAAATCCTAAACCCTAAACCCTAAACCCTCCCCCCCAACCAACCCAACCCCAAATCTTCTTGAAGCCTGAGCCAGGTCCTTCGTGTGCTTGGCACCGGCAAGGTGGGGCTTTTAACTTCCTTTTTCAGGAGATAGGGTTTTTGGTGTAGGATTTAGGGTCTAGAGTTTAGGGCTTAGGGTTTAGGATTTAGGGTTTGGGATTTAGGGTTTTGGGTCTTGGATTTAGAGTTTGGGGTTTCGGGTTCAGGGTCAGGTGTGTTGTAAGTAAGCAAGTACTAAAGGAGCCTGCATGGTTACACATATTAGTGGTCAAATATGCTTGCAGAGTTAAAGTAAAGGGTACGTCAAAAAGACTTCAGCATGATATTCGTACTTGTTCAGGCTTCTACAGACTGCTAACAACCCCCCACCCCCTGCATCTTTGGCCTACTTTCTAAGTCCTGCTGACCGTCTAGTTTAGGGTTTAGCTATTATCAGGATCGGGTCAAGGTATCAGTAATGGTGGTCATAGGGGCTCCTTGGGTAGTGTAGTATAGTCCTTAACATACACCCTAATAGGAAGCGATGTCTATTTTTGACATGGAAATATTGATTGTAGCTCGTAGCTCAAATGGCAAATCCTCTCTCTTCGGCACCTGAAAGGCAAAACCCCAAGTGGCAGAATACATTAAACCCTAAACCCTAAACCCTTGCCCAAAACCTGTCCTACAACGCCTGGTCCCCGAGCTTAGCTATCGGGCCGTTCCTGGGACCCTTGCGGTGTCAAACCCTAAACCCTAAACTCTATATATCCCTCAGCCCTAAACCCTACAATCATTGTCCCCTAAACCCTAAACCCTAGCCCCTAAACCCCCAAATCCTTAAAAAAACCTACAACAGGTGGCAGAGGCAACTCGATCCTGGGGACGGAAGCCAGGCATTGGCCTTGCGGATGCGGAAACTGGGTGCTGTTAAGGAACTTTCAGGTCTACCTGGACCCCAAAAGTATGTAAAATAATGGCCTTTAGGGCTGTTCTTTTGGGTTTAGGGCTATTATTTTACATATTTTGGGGGTTTAGATATAGGTGAACCCTAAACCCTAAACTCTAAGAGGTGTATAGGGCTTGGGTTTAGAGTTTCTTGTTTGGGGTATAGGGCTTAGGATGAAGGCCTTAGGGCTTAGGATTGAAGATTTAGGGCTTAGGGTCGAAGATTTGGAGTTTAGGATGTAGGTTACGGAACTTGATGAACTTAGGGTTTAGGATTTAGGGTCAAGGAATTTAGGGCTTCAGGGTTTTAAGGCCTACAGAAACTCAAGGTCTTGGCCGGAGTCTTCCTTGGATTTTCCTAGAGGAGCCATAATCTAAACTCCTTAAAGGGGATTATATAGGGGACTACTATTAGGGGTTATTAAAGGGGATACTAGGAGTTTAGACTATAGCTCATATCTTCTACATGCTTGTAGCCCGGAACCCTACATGCTAGCTTAGTGAAACAGCTACCCAGGATACTGCTGGCAGCACCATGTCCTTCGACCGTTGGCTGGAGGTCATCCCCCAAAAGCAGAGATTTGGGTTTGGGGGTTTAGGCTTTAGGGGTTTAGGGTTGGGGGTTGAAGGTCTAAAGGATTGGGGTCTGGGGGTGTGGGCTTCTTGGTTTGGGACGGGCAAATTTCAACAACGACTTCCCCCGGCCTCTCCCCAAACGGTGGCTTGTGTAGGGCTTAGGGTCTAGGGCCTATAGGTTAGGTTGGGCCCCCACCCACTAATAGTGACCACGAGAGAGAGTGGTAATTACTTTAGGGCCTCTATGCTTTCCTAGTATGCAACTATTAGTGGGTAGGGGCCTAGCCCAACCTATAGGCCTTGTTTCTTGGTTTTGCCATTGTTGTAGTTGGCGCGCTCAAGGGAGCTTGAGGGCTTCACGTTGAGGATAGTCGGGTTACGGCTGAAGGTACTGGGTGAAGAGCTTAGGATCTAGTAGGGTTATAGTCCCCCTTAAGTAGATAGAATATGGCTTTGGGTATATTATAATAAGATCCCCATATACCCCATATTCTATCTACTTAAGGGGGACTATAGGGATTCGCAGCTTAGTGCTTCGCAGGGTTTGGGTCAAAGTCCTGGGCTCAAGGTTTAGGAGTTCCTGTGGATGCAGCACGAGTTGTTAAAACGATGATCATTTTTAAGGTACCCTTTCGGCACGCCCGAGAGGTAGGGGACCCGAAAAGGACCATATTGTGGATTTCAAAACAGTTTAGAGCCAGGAGCATTGAGAGATTCTCGTGGTTAGCTGATAGATACATGGGTCTTTGTTCTGGGCATATTCTCTGGGGGTATATCTTAGCAGGACCCCCAACCCTGTAATAGTGGCATAATAGGAATATGAGAGGACCCTAATATAATCCTTACCATTCCTTATAGTCACTATTACTGGGTGGGGGGTCCACCTAAGGTATATCGCAATCCTGAGCCCTAAGCCCTAGACCCTTGTAGCGAATAGAGTCCAGGATGCCGGTACCCTTAGGTTCTATAGGTGTATACTGGGTTACATATAGAATTCTAGGTTTAGGGTTTAGGGTTTTTTATGGGTCCTGTTCCTTGGGAGTATTGATCAAAAGGGGCCCAATCATTTCACAGGGATGTAGGGTTGCTATACATAAGTGATCAGGGCGGCACCGTCACCTCTTCTGGGTTAGTGTTGGTGATGTCTTTACATTTTACTCAACTAAAGCCCAAGAACAAACAAAACAAAATGGCTTTCTTGCGCATATGGAAAACTATAACCTACATGAAATAGCTCTGAATATGATCCTAACAAGAACGGGTCCTCTGCACATGCCATCGCAGGCAGCTTTTTAAGAGCAATCCATCGATCCATACGATGGCCTCAACCAGCAGCACTTGGATCCAGACACATCGGATAGTGATGTCAGGGATTCAGCTCGGTTAAGACCGAAGGCTATCTCACGAGGAAGGAGCTGAAACAGCTAGACAGGGAGATCCCGTGGAGGCAGCTGATGGGCCTCCCCAAAGACAAACTGCAAGCGTACATCGATGCAGCCATCAAAGAAGCCCGATCATGGTTGCATTGGTGGTCCATTGAGCCGCTGGATGCAGCTGAGATTGCTAAAATCATGTCATCATCTACGCTCAGACGGCGCATACTGAAGTCCAGAGCTGTTTCTCGCGCTAAGGCGAGATGACCTGGTCCTTTGCTACCTCAATGTTGCGTAGTCTGTTTAGGGCACCTCGGCCCGGACTTGCAATCCTTGACTCGAGAAAGTCCAAAGCTGCCTAGAATGGCTGAACATACCGTCTTCAACAGTAGCCTTTACATGCCTACTGTAGCAGCCCGAATAATCACCAAGGTTATTCCCATAAAGTCCTTGTGCAACTAAAGTAAGTTGTAGCCCAACCCTATTATACAGGCCTCAACATCGGTGTCCCTTGCGGCGCCCCGGAAGTCTGAACCCGTGAACTTCGACCCTAAACCCTAAACCTTAAAACCCCAAACCCTAAATCCTAAAGCCCTAAAACCCTAAAGCCCTAAAGCCCTAAAACCCTAAAGCCCTAAAGCCCAACAACCCTAAAACCTAAACTTCGCAGGAGCGGGAGAAGAAGTCCCAAGCAGCCAAAGCTAAGTTTGAAGCCTTCCGAGCTGGAAATCTGCAGGTCATGAAGGACTACGGCTTAATCAGAACAGCTTGCACTACCCTGCATACCTTACGATGATTTGGAACATTTTTGGTATGGTAGTATACTGAGGCTGAGGTCATGCAGGATTATTTTGTATCTGTGTTAACAACAGTAGGGTTTATAGGGGTGGAATTAGAGTCTGCAGTGTGTTCCCTCATCTGATTGTGGAATTCAGTCTATCACGAAACACTAGTGTTGTCTATGATACTGTCGATACGGCAGATCCTGCATGACCCTAGTGTACTATAGTACAAAAATTCCCAAGGTTTGAGGTACATCGGGCCATGCAGGATGTTTAGTATCCACACAAAACCCTACACTGTATATATATATATACATATACATATATATATATATCTCTCTCTCTCTCTCTCTCTCTCTCCAAGATAGTATGTCGAGGAGACCGTAGGACCTCAACCGGATGCAATTTGGGTTTCCCTCCGAGCCCTTCCCCAAACTAACATGGAAACTCACAAGTTGACCGAAGGACTGGAATAATTTGGGGCTTGTGACCTCTATGGGCGCCTTTTTGGGGATGATAGGTTTTATGCATTCCCAGTTATATGTATAATTTGCCCCCTGAATCAACCTTAATCCCCCTTGATGGCCCTATGCGGGTTACCGCAGTTATAAGTAGGGCTATACTTCCCAGCTATGTGTACATATATATATGTATATATATATACTCCCTAAACCCTAAACCCTAAATACTAAGTCCCATGAACCTCCAAGTAGACTGTGTTCATATCACTGCTGCAGAGGCCACCAGCACCGTTGACTGTGGCTCTTCTCGTAAGTTGAAGTCTTCTGTGGGTTTAGGGTTTAGGAGTATCGGGCTTAGGGGTTTGGGGTTTAGGGATTTAGGGTTTAGGGTTTAGGCTGCAAAAGCCTTTTACCAAAAAAAATCGAGGAGACAAAATGGGTGCAACCAGAACAGGCTTCACGGAAGGGCAGCTACAAGGCTTTCCGCAGGGTCCCCGGCCACTCCGCAAATCTCTTCCAAACAATCCCTGAGGGTCCAAGGACCCAAATAATAGGGGTTTTAGGGCCCAAAGACTATAACATCAATGGTATTTGGGCCCTAAAGCCGGTCTAGACCGCTGCTAACCTCCACCCCAAACCCCAACCCCCGGACGGAAGGGTTTAGGGTTTGGGGTTTAGGGTTTAGGGTTTGGGGTTTGGGGTTTAGGGTTATTGTATAGGGTTTGGGTCGGGAGTTTTCTGCTTTGCTTTCCAAAACTGGTTTGGTGCAGGGCGGCCCTGAGACTCGGGGGGCTGGGGGGCAAACCTCAGCCCTGAGTGGAGGCCCGGAGGCTGGGCCTCGGGCCTTTTCTGAATTTTTTTAGGCTTCCCAGCCTCTTCGAATTGAGCCTCTTCTGTGCCTTTTCTAGGCTTCTGGACCTCTTCCCAACCTTTTCTGGGCCTCGGAGCCTTTTCTGGGCCTTTTCCAGGGCCTCGGGCCTCTTCTGGGCCTTTTGTGGGCTTCTGGGCCTTTCCAGCCTTTTCTGGGCCTCGAGGCCTTTCTGGGCTTTTTCTAGGCTTTTTCTGGACTTCGGTCAAGGGTTTCGGAGCCTCTTCTGGGCGCCTTTTCTGGGCCTCGGCCGCTGGGCCTTTTCTAGGCTTCTGGACCTCTTCCCAGCCTTTTCTGGGCCTCGGGGCCTGCTTCAATTTACTTAAATCTCCTTGTGTATTCTTGCTAAAACATCTTTGCGGCCTGTTGTTTGCTAGACGAGAATACAATTTCTATTTATCCTGACTTGAGGGTTTAAGGGTCTGGGGTTTAGGGTTTAGGGTTTGGGGTTTAGGGAATTCTAAACGCTAAGCCCCTAAACCTTAGATGCCCTAAATCCTATACTCCCCACAGGCCATATAAGCCCCCATGTCCATTTCATGTTCCAGTTCTTTCTACCTTACCAAAATCCTCTTCTATTGTCAAGATCCTCTTCTAAACTTGTAACCCCGAAGCCCTAAACCCTCATCCTTAAGCCCGAAATCCTTGAACCTCATTTAGCATCACACCCTACATCCCCAAACCCTTGACCCCACAATTCCTAAACCTCCAAACTCTTCATCGTAATTTTTACGTTAGCAGTATTTTCGAGCTTTAGTCTAAGCATCAAGCCCAAGACCCTTCTTCCATCCGGCGGAACCCAAAACCCTTAAACCTAAACCCTGAACCCTAAACCCGAATCCCGCTACCCTCATCCCGAAACCCTGAATCCCTAAACCTTAAACCTTAGACCCCTTAACCAGGAGCCTGCGAAGGAAAAGCCTCAAAAGCCCAGCTTCGATCCGTCCATCGTCCTAGAGGTCCTTCCGAAACTCGGATGTTCAGTTACAAAATGTACTAGACTGGGTTAGGGGCTTCAGGTTTAAGTTTTTGTTGCTTCAAGTTTAGGATTTAAGATTTAGCGTTTAGGGCTTAGAGTGTAGGGTTTAGGGTTTCAGATTTAGGGTTAGGGTGTAGGGTTTATGTGAGCTGCCGTCAATATGAGGCCTACCACGGGACCAAGGAGGGTGAACCTACCGTTCGTTGTTGTAGTTGAGTATAGTCTCCACCCCCCCCTAATATCAGATATTCCCCATTGTGGCATAATAATATAATGGGAGGATTCGATATTATGTCTGAGTATTCTATATATGGTCCATATTTGGGGGAGGTGATTGTCGGGCTTAGGTCTAGATGTATAGGTACCATGATAGGGGTGCAGAATCGCTACAGTATCTATACGGGGCTAGTATGCAGGGTTGAGTAGGGGAACCCATGGTAGTAGAAATCCACATATGAACTCACAGCATCCCGATATATCCCTGAAACCCTTAACCCCAAACCCTCAACCCTAAACCCCAAATAGCAACCAGATACTTAACCCCAACCCCCCTCAACCCTAAACCCCTAATCCCAAAGTCTGAAACCCTATGAACCCGACAGCCAAGGAAGTTGATGACCTCCCAGGTGGCATCTTGGCTTCGGCAAGGTTCAGGGTTTCAGGTTGGATACTGCCCTCACTCAGTAACAGCTGGATAACAAACATATTATGGTTATATATAGCCCTTACTAGGACCCCTAATATAGACTGTTACAGGGTGGGGGCAGTACCCATGTTTTATGTAGCATTTCAGGATCTAAGGGTTAGGGTTTAGGCTTTAGGATTTAGGAGGTAGGGCTAAAGGTTCAGGATTTAGGTTCTGGGCTTCGAGTCGTTGAGTCAGGGCTCGGGGTTTGGGGAAATAAACCTCGTCCATCGCCCTATTAATGGACTTTTCCATGTGATTTTGTGATAGGAGGAGAGTGTTCCAGGGGGAGGTTATTGTCAGGCTTCTTAGGTTTTAGGATTAGGCTTTAGATTCGGGATTGTGGGATTTAGGATGTAGGGATTCGGGCTTTACAATCAGGATTGAGGTCTTCAGGCTTCAGATTCCGGTTTCAAGGCTTAAAGTTTGGGATAAGGGTTTTCTTGGAGGGTCATGGCGACAGATATCCCCATTATCAACCTACTTACCAAGTGAACCCTAAAGCCTAAGTCCCGAATCCTAGACCTACGACCTAAAATCCGAAATCCTAAACCCCAAAACCCTAAATCCTAAACCCTAAACCCTAAACCCTTAAGTCCACCTCCGGAGGTACCTCCAAAAACCGACATGCGACACCAACCCTTAGCCCTCTAACTCCTTCTCCTCTTCAACCCTAAATCCATCCCAGGGTTTCAGGTTTGGGATTTAGGGTTAGGGTTTAGGGTTTAGGGTTTAGGTTTAGGATTTAGGGTTTAGGGTTTAGGTTTAGGATTTAGGGTTTAGGTTTAGGATTTAGGGTCAAGGGTTTAAGGGTTCAGGCTTTAGGGATCTATATCCTGAGCCCTGAGTCGTTTCTATCCTAAGCCTTAAGCTGTATTCTAAACCCTAAACCGTATTTGCTGAACCCTGAGCCGCCATGTATCTAGCACTCTCAACCCTATGTGCTCAGATGTTTTTACAGCCGCTGCGCACTGCAGGCAATATTCGCTGCAAAAGGAACATGCTATATGGAGGCTTTGTAACAGATTTGGGTATATAGGGGAATGGAAAAGAAGAATAGGGAAACTGCTACATTATTCACAGGTAGGGTATTTCCTTTTTAGAACGGGCCAACTATAGGAGGAGAGTTTCCAAATGGGGGGGGGGTAACACCCAGAGCCTTAAACCCTAAGCGCAAAACCTTCAAAACCTAGACCCGGAAACACTCCAACTCTAAACCCTAAACCCTAACCCCTGATCCCTCAACTCTAAACCCTAAATTCTAACCCTATTAATCAGTGCAGCCCAGCAAGCCTCGGCAGTATGGGTCAGGCTGCCAACGCGGCCTTTTATAGATTCAACCCATGGCCCTATATGTGCTATAGTCTGAACTTCTTAAAGGGGGGTTATATGGGGGATTGTGTATTGGGGAGTGTTATAAGGGTCATGAAGGGGATATTAGGAGTTTAGACTATAGCTCATATCCCAAACCTTAAACCCTAAGGCCCTATATCCAAAACCATGAGCCCTGTATCCGAAGTCCTGAGCACTTTCTCCCAGACCCTCGAACCTCAGGTACTACTCATGAAGGGAGAGACGTGGGCTTCCCACAAGGCGCTGAGCCACGCCTGGCATTTAGGGGCTTAGGGTTCGGGGTGCTGTGGAGTACGTAGTATACTTCATGCGGGTTTGATCATTCCATAGCTGCTATAGGGTAAGGAGTTTAGGGGTTTAATGTTTAGGTGACAATAACAACCCGCCCCCCCCGGAACTTGTTTTGCAATTTGGGCTTACGGAGGGGGGGGGGTCACAATAATAAATGACGGGGACATGGGTAGGACCAGGTAGTGCAGCTCGTAATACTAGTAGGACAAGTAAAGTCGGGACATTTCCGGCCAGACAATTGTATTATTGCCACTCCTTTATTATTGCGATTTGGACTTGTTTAGATACTTTTGGGCTCCGAGCTTGTTAGAAAGCAAATTTGATTGTCCGGGATTTTTCCGGACACCCCCTTTAAATATGTTACTTAAACATTAGGATGTAGGGAGCCCGATATGGAGTAAGATCATATACCCTGCTACTGATTAAGGTTTTGTCTTGGAAGAAGTATCATTAACAACCTTACTTGATTGAATCACTAAAAACACCACTCACTCGGGCTGCAGGTTTCGCCAGCTTGTTGTTCGGGTTAACAGGAAAGGGTAACAGTCGGAAGCTTTGTATGATCAGTGTAGGAAGGGAAAGGTAGGTGTCTTGGAAAAGATACTGGCCTGGCAAGTGTGTGTGTGTCTATGTATGGGGATAAACACTACAACCCTAAACCCCTAAACCCTAAACCCTAGTATCAGGCCGTGTTTGAACGCTCAAGCAGACGGGTTAAACCCTAAACCCTAAACCCCTTCATTTGTGAAGATCCCGCTTCGGGATAGCAAACTAACGCAGGCTTAGTCGGGAAGAGGGGGGGCTGGACCCCTCCCAGTTTCATCTCCAACTCCCATAGTAGGGTTTAGGGTTTAGGGTTTAGGGTCCTTATAGCCCATCCCCCTTTCACAATGACATCTAATTATCCTAAATCCAAACGAAAATGATCATTTTCAAGGCTTTTCCATTCCCAGCTTAAGCATGAAAAAGCCCTCGGAGTTCGGATCATCCTACCTCCTTGCTCCAAATAGTTGGTCCTTGAACCAGAAACGCTACACTAATGTAGTAGAAGCCTGAATAACGACCAATATTGTTCCTTTGTAGTCCTTTTATAATCATGGTATAATGTACCCCTCAACCCTAGCTAGAGTAAAGTAGTGTCACCAGTATCAGCCCTAAACCTTAAAACCCTAAACCCTAAGGAGTGGGTACATGGGCTTCCACCACCTTCTCCTATCGATCTGCCATGCAGAGCCAACAGTGCAGGCAGCTGTGAGTTGAGTTTGGGCGTAGGGTTTTACTAAACCCACAGCCCTACTTGAGCCCCAAAAGTATGTAGAATAATTGACTTTTTGGCTATATTTAGGTGTTTTGGGCTATTAGTGCACCTACTTTGGGGCTCCAGGTAAACCTTAACCCAAGAAAACTTTCCTGTTGTAGGGAAGCCGAGCTTGGGTTTATGGACTCGCGCCACCTACTGGTGGGTAAGGATGTGCGGAAGAGTGAGTTCCAAAAACCATCCCTACATGATGCCTAGTCGTGTATGTAGGGGTTCAGGGTTTGGGGGGCCTTCTATGTTGTGATACAAGTAGTGAGTATACGGAATGATGGTGAGTATGCTAGGGTCCTCGTATATTATACCAGTGTTACGAGCTGCATTCCCTCCCTACCCCACTTAGGCAGCAGCGGAATCATCGCCCCACCTTTGCCAGATCAAACTGTGGGTTAGAGTTTAGGGCTTCGGGATCACTACTGGCTAATTATGAGCTACTGTCAATATTAGGCTTCCTAAAGGACCATGTTCAATCGCAGTTAGCTACCCACTACTGCCCCATTGTTGTCCTTATATAGCTATAGTAAAGCAGAACCCCAGAACTCCAAGAACCCAGAACTTTCGGCTCCTACATCTTGTAAACACCTAATCTGCAAGTGTTCAGCCTTCGTGGAGGGTGGGACTTAGTCAGTTCCGACCCGAATCTGGGCCTAATTGATTAAGGCAATATCAGGTCTTATCCAGTTTTGTTGGGGATTATCACCTTAAGCACTCAACCTTGAACCCAAAACCCTAAACCTTCTCAGGGGCCCGTGTTAGTTCTATGAATGAATCCCAACCTTACCAAGGCTCTAATGGCAAGACTCGCTACTTGCAGGGTCAGGGCAGTCAGTCGGATTTCAGGCTTAGGGCTTAGGAGTTTTCAATCTGAAGATGTAAAGGTTTCGGGTTTTGGAGGGGCTTTGGAAGCCAGGGTAACTGCAGCCCTAAACCCTAAAGCTTGAAACATCCCTCTGGAATCCCTAGGACCAACCCTTTACCAGGTACCCCAGAAGTACACCTTTTCCCTTTTTCTTTTGAAATCTCCGTATTAAAGCTGAACCTTAGGAAAACCGGGGGGGTTACTGGGGAACCTAGTTTAAAACCTAAACAGCTCCTGCCACTGTTCCTTAACCGGCAGTCCCAGCTTTGAGCCCGAAGGGTTGACCCCACAAGCAAGAGAAAAGCACGCCCTAGGTTTAGGGTTTACTGTAAGTACATGAGGCTTGCCTGGATTATATAGGGGTTTGTAGGGGTTATATGTATAGGGGTTATATAAGCAGAATGGAAAAGAAAATGGAAACTGCTATTTAGGGCTTAGGGTTTCTCAAAAATGGGGGTACCTTTCCTTTTAGGGGCCCCTATAATAAGGACTAAAGTATATTGGGGTCTATATTAGGGTACCCTCATTTTAGGAAACTACCACATTGTGTTTGGGTGATCATTTTGTTTTTTCAGCGTCAAGGTTGAAAGTAAAGGAAATTCGGGCCCCCGGCACTTATGTGTTATTTGTATCTTGACAGTTTAGGCTCTGCAAAGCTGTTACAGATGGATGTACAGGTTGTCTCAAAACAGTGCTGCTCTAGGCACCCTAGCCCCTAGCACTTTATAGCGTCGGGGCATGTAGGGTTCAGGATGTATTGTTCTTGAAACGGTAGCTGGCAAAGAAAAGCGGTAGGCACAGCAGCACTAGCTCTGCCACTGCCAGGAGTTTTCCGCAATGGGTTTAGGGTTTTGGGTTTAGGGTTTTGGGAAATCATTTGCGAATCCTGCCTTTGACCCTGAACACTAATCCGAAACCTTCACCCTATACAGGTAGAGTTGGAGAGGCGGATTTCCCAGTTTGTGGCCAACGAGGCCTCATTCCCGAGCAAGGGTGTTTAGGGGCCACGCGGTTTAGGTTTTAGGGTGTTTAGGGTTGAGGGCTCATGACTGTATTGGGCTAAGGGGGTTTCAAGGGTATAGAGTTTAGAGTTTATGGGGTAAAAAGGGCTTTTGATTAACCCTTAAGTGTGTAGGATTTCGAGCGTATAGGATTTTCAGATATTTCGGGTATTGGGATTCAGGTCCCCAGGAGACCGTCTCCCTAAATCGTAAAAGCTTAAAACCCTAGACCCCAAAAACCCTTAACCTCAAAAACCCTAAACCCCTGAACCCCTAAGACCCTAAGCCCCGAAAATCGGACTGAGGTCAGTCTCCGCACTCTTAACAACAAGTGCAAGGAGAAAGATACCAAAGTTGTTTTGGCCCCCCCACCCCCAAAACAAGAAGAAGAGGTGTTGGGATTTAGGGTTCAGGATTAAGGTTCAGGTTCATGTGAGCTACTGTCAATATCAGGGTTACCCAGGGGAATCATTGAGGGTGGGCAAGGGTCCAGCCCCTAATACATTCCCGAATGAGGAACCCATGTCCATTAGTCGTGTGGGGAATTTATTGAAAGTGGCTCATGTGATTCTTAAACGGTCCTTATTAGAAGGGGTTGGGGGTACCAAACCCTCTTTTCAAAAGAGCTATTTGCTAGTAAAACCTCATGCCATTGGCCTTCGGGAATTCAAGGCTGGCACGCAGGGCTTTCTTCTCAACAGGGTGTCGATGCAGTTCAGGAATCAAGGTGTATCTAAATTCGCAAAACCTAAGCCTCGTCCCCTTAACCCAACCCGAAGCCCGTAACCGTAACCCTAAAACCAAAACCCTAAAACCTATACCTAAGCCCTAAAACCTATACCCTAAACTCAAAGCCCACAGCTAGAATTCAGGGTTCCTTCTCGGGGTTCCTCTTTTCAGCCCTTTAGAGATCTTAAGCGATCCTGCTACTTCTGGGATGTACCTATAGTCTTGCGGACTTGCCACTCGAAATCACAAGTTGCTGCTACTAAGCTATACCTGGACCCTGGATGTCCTTCCTTTTCAAAGTTCTGTCCTTCATACCTATAGGGTCTGTCCCAAGAAAGGTAGGACGTCCAGGGTCCGGGTAGGTGCTTGGGGCTCTAGAATTGCTCCCTCCTTACCCAATACTTAACCTTCAACAGTACCCGGAGCCCTGGGAAGATCTGGAAAATTAACCCCACGATATGGTGCCCTATACTGCTTTTAGGGTTTAGGTTTAGGGTTTAGGGTTGGGATAATGTCTAGGAAATTTTTAAGGAGATCTGTTTCTAAGCCCTCTACGACGCGAGGATCAGCGAGTGAAGTCGGCAGTCCCAAATCTTGGAGAGTTCATCTGCCTGCTTCCTGCTTGCATTTTGGGGGATCTAGTAAGTACGGGTCTTCCTTGTTATGGTAACCCTCAGCCCTAAACCCCCTATGCCCTGAACCCTATAGTAGCTTTTGGGAGCCTGACATTGCACTTATGACGCAGCATTGGTATGTCCAGCTTAGGGATTAGGGCTTGCAGACTTTCGACCCGAAGTAGGTAGACTGCATGGACCTAGAGCCACCGTGCCTAGAAAAAATCGTTGCGCTCCCATCCTGCTGCCCAACAATCAACCTGAGGGTTTGTATAGGGTTTAGAGTTTAGGGTGAGTACCCTGGGGAGCCTTCAAGGCGAAGCCAAGGGTAAGGGTAAGGTTGCAATAAAGGCATGGTGCGGAAGCTCACCTCTTTCCAAAACTTTGGGGGGATTGCAATTGAACTCGAAGCTCGTAGCATAGCATGATATGGAGTTCCTGGGTGACACGATGTCTTTCCAAAACACCCTAAACCCTAAACTACTCAAATAACCCCCTATATAATCCCAGTTTCCATTTCATTTTCCATTTTCTTTTCCATTTGATTCTCCATTCTTGGGGTATAAATAGTACACAGTTTTCGGGGTCTAGGAAGGTTAGGGACACCAAAACTGTACCCTAAACCCTAAACCCTAAACCATGAACCCTAAACCCTAAACCCTAAATATGCTTTCATGCTCCAATGGCTTCCTGACTTGACGTTTCAGGCTCTTAGGGTTTAGGGTTTAGGATTTAGGGGTTTAGGGTTTAGGGTTCAGGTTTTCGGGGTTTAGGGTTTAGG